GTCAGAGTGACTTAGGAAAAAGATGAGAAACAACCAAGTGGAATGGGGACCACCGGAGTAGTTGGTCAGGGACACAGGGACTAGAAAGGGCTTTACTTTCATGGAGGCTGGAAAATCCTGGAGCTTGTCCACCTGCTAAGTGACACTGGAGGTAGAGGGGTCCCCTGGAGCATGAGAGCTGCCCACAGGACAGGTGCTGCCTAAGAAGTACCCAGGCACAAGCTCAAAGATCCTTTTTAGACATCCGTGGCTGTTGTTTGGCATGCACCTACTGTGTGCCAGGCTGAGCCCTTGGGTAACCTTTCATTCTCAACTCCACTTGATAATAGGTAACAGCAACCTGAATTTCACAGAGGAGGGAAAGGAAGCATGAACAAAGGGGAGGCCACCCAGCATAAGTGCTGCAGAAGGAACTCTGCAGAGACCCTGCACAATTGCCTTTCAGTTCCCAGCCAGAGCCAGAGTGATCAGTGGGTCCCTCCAGTGCTTAGGAATCTTCCAGGTAAAGATGTCCAGCTGATAATCACCACCACCATTCCCCACCCAGAGATGCTAACACAGCTGGCTCAGAACCATTCTTAAGCAAGAAACCTCAGCTCTGCCTCTGGAAGCTCTGCTTTTATCTTCAAAGCATGGGGAGGGCTGGGCCAGGCTGACTCAGAGGACCTCAGGGCCCTGGGGAGAGGCCCAGGAAGCTGGGATGCAACCTGGGCTTTCTTTTCAAAAGGCCTTAAATCCCAGCACTCAGGAGGCAGAGGCAGGAGGATCTCTGTGAATTTGAGGCCAGCCTGACTTACATAGTAAGTTACAGGTCAGATAGGGCTACACAGTGAGACTTTGTCCCAAAAAAGAAAAAAAAGGAAAAAAAGAAAAGACCTTATGGCTCCCTTTGGAGACAGCCGCTCCCCTCACCCCAAAGTCACTGAGGCCTTGGCTCACCACTTGGTCTCTTTTTTTAAAATTGAATTTCTATTACATTTTATTTATTTATTTGGGAGTGTATGTGGTTGGGGGGTGTGCAGCACACACATGTGGAGATCAGAGAACAACTTGTGAGAGTTGGTCCTCTTCCAAAATATGGATCCCAGGGATCGAACTCAAGTCATAGGGCTTAGCCACAAGTGCTCTTACCTGCTGAGCTATCACACAAGCCCCAACACTTGCTCTCTTAAAATGTCTCCTCCACCATGAAAATGCCAGATGGTATGAACCTGCTCAGTGACAGCGACCATCACTACCCCACATTCCATGTTCCAGTGAGGAAACTGGCTGGGAAAGCTAGTAGAGAACTAGTCAGAGGAACTGGAGAGATGGCTCAATGAGTAAGAGCAAGTGTTTGCAGCTCAAGGATGAGGACCCAAGTTCAAATCCCCAACATCCATGTATAAAGTCAACTTGTGGCCATGTGGACCCCAGTGCTGTGTGGGGTGGAGACAGGAGCATTATTGGGACTTGCTAGCTGCTAGCCTAGTTCTGGGTTCAGTGAGAGGCCTGGTCTCAGGGGTAATAGGAGAAGGACACCTGATGTCTCCTCTGGCCTCCACAAGAGTGCACTGTACAGAGAGAGAGAGAGAGAGAGAGAGAGAGAGAGAGAGAGAGAGAGAGCTCAGGACTATATCCTGGAAAAGGAAAAGCAAGGTGCTGGTCTGGTCTCTTCAGGTTTTCCAAAGGGATCTAGGACTGAGGACCCACCAGGCTCAGTAGAGCCTGGAGTGCTTTGGGCCCGAGGGCAGCTCCCCCTCCAGACCTCTGACCCACGCCAAGCCACACCCCAGGGTGGATCACAGCCTGCCTGCTCTCAGGTTGAAGACTGGACAAGGCCAAGGAGTGGAGAGACCTGAGGGTGCTCCCAGCAACTGGAACAAAGGTTCAGTCTGGGCCCCAGCTCTGGAGCTGACTCCCTGGGCTTCTGAAGAGTCAAACAAAGCTCATAGAGCATTGTCTGTAAAGTGCATGAGGAGATAAGACATGCCCTGAGAAGCTCAGCAGTGGTGAGCACCTGTAATCTGTAGTCTCAGCTCTTGGGAAGTGGAGACAGGAAGCTTAGGAGTTCAAGGCCAGCCTCAGCTACATAGTAAGCTCAAGACCAAGGTATTTCAAACACCCCACCACCACACAACACACATACACAGAGAGAGAGAGAGAGAGAGAGAGAGAGAGAGAGATACTCTGTGAGGAGGTTCAAGACCAAGGTATTTCAAACACCCCACCACCACACAACACACATACACAAACAGAGAGAGAGAGAGAGAGAGAGAGAGAGAGAGACTTGTAGGAACTGTTGGGGAACCCTGCTGCTAGGGTTGTAGTCCTCCATGTCCAGATAGCTCTAAGGGGCTCGGTGCCATATGAAAGGATACCCCTCCTCAGCAGGGGGCCTCCTGCTATCTGCCTGACTTACCTGGAAAGTGCTGCCTGGAAAGTGCTGCCTGACCTTATTTGGAACATGACCTTTGGCATAGTTACCTGCAATAAAATAGTTACCTGGAGTAAAAACTACCCCCAGGTTTTTTCTATATGATAATCAGGCATTGCCCGGTAGTCGGATGATAGGGGCCCACTGCCACATGTAAATAAAGCATACTGAGCACCTATCAGCTGAAGCATTGGCTACTGCCTCCACACTATATTTTCCCTAACCCCCACTGAATAAATGGAGCTGTTTCACTGAGTCTGGAGCTATTTACATCATTGAACCTGCCTCCCTGGAAGGGCTTTCTTCCATCAGTGCTCACTGGCAATCCTGACACCGTTGCTTCTACTCCCTTTGTCCTCGTGGAGCGATGGCCAACGACCCACGAGGAGAGGGAGCGACCCCACAAGGAGGCCCAGTGTACACCCAGTGCCTTCCTCATTTTTCATGAACCTACCACATGGCAGCCCTTACAGACATTCAACAGGGGCTCTACATGCAGGATACCATTTGTTCCTCAGCAGACCCTGACAGGGACAAGTTTCCCTCCTGCAGCAGAAAGGAACCTGAAGCTCAGTTGTCCACAAGACTTGCCCAAGGCATCTACTGAGGAAGCCCCAGCAAGATACACAAATCACCAGGCAAGGGGAAGGTGTCCTCAAGAGACCACTGCCAAACTTACTCAGTTTCCCTGTAGGATGGGCTCTTTCCCACCTCTCCACACAGGTGCCTCTGCTGGCCTTGCTTCCCCAGTTGGAAAAGACTGTAGACTGAGCTAACCATTACCTATCCAGGGAGGCTGCCTGGACCCCTCTTGGGTGATAAGGGCCCCCTCGGCCTTCCCTCTGCCACAGCTTGGCCACAATGTGTTGCCTTCATTCTTTTAGACCTCCTCCATCTCCCCATTAGCCTGGGGGCACCCAAGGACAGGTCTGGTCTGATCCATCCCTGTGTCCCTAAAGTACTCTGGTCCTCTAATCACTGCCCTGATTTCCCTTCTACCTGTAAGGAGGCTACTCCTGAATAGCAGGGACACACTGGCCTATGGCCAGGGAGCTGGCAGAAGATCCAGCTGGCAACACATCTGTCCCTGGAGCCACAGGACAAGCAGGCCCAAGGCAAAGATGTCAAGCCCTCTGCTCAACCAGGTCAGCCCAGAGCAAGGTGAGAAGCCACAGTGCCAGGGCCCAGCCCAGATGGAGCCTGGGTTCAGACAAGCCTTTGAATTCTCTAATTCAAAGTAATTTAAGACCAGGGCCTTGACTTTCTCATCTGTAAAGCCAATACCAGCAGCTTTATAATGCAATTAGGGGTTTAAATATACCTGAAACTTAGCAGGGCCTCAACAGAAGCCTTCACTTTACCATCTTATCTAAACAGTGAACCATGGAGGGAACTCAAGTCCAGATGAAATGAAAAACAGGAATGACTATTTACCACCACCAGTGAAATGCAGGTGCTATGGATCGCCAGTGTCTCTAATTCTGCCAACAATTCTGGCAACACCTGCATGGACAGATCCGGCTCGCAGAGGAGGAACTTGTGGCCAACACAGGCAAAGTGAGCCAGTGATTCAGAAGCAGATCTCTGGACCCTTCCACTGCCCGGCAGAGCAGTGGGCAGCTCCCTAAAGGCTCTAGGAGGCCAATGTGGCTGTACCACCAGGCCAGACACAGGTAAGGGATGGTGGTACAGCACGCCTACACCCTGGTGTGTGTGTGGTGGGGTAAGTTCAGTCAGCCTGGGTCCTAGCCTACACTGTCAGTGTGCAAGGGTGAGTAGACAAGGCTGGACCAGGGGGATAGCAAGGCCTCTCACTGCAGTTATAGACACCTCCCTGAACAAGATGAAGACTAAAGAAGGGGGTCCCAGGCTGACAGCTGCACAAGCCCATGCACCTCCTTTAGAGCCTCATGGGCTCCTAGATAGTCCTAATTCTACCTCGCTGTTGTTAGGATTGGGGAGATAAGAAGGTAGCCAGGACCATCATGGGCTGGTCAACCAAAGAAGAGGATCTGGTACTAAGCCAGGGAACCAGAGAGCTTTCAGACAGCTCACAGAAAACAGCACTCACAGTGCTCCAGATCCCAGCCCAGCCTCCAAGGCCAACTCCAAGACCTCCAACCCCTGCCAGCCTCTGCCTAGGCTTGGGCCATAGCACACTACTACGGTTCCATTCAATAGTTCAAGTGCCTAATGCTCCCCTATCTCACAACCTGCAAGGGAACAGTTCCCTCTCCCCAGATGAGCCAACCCCACCCTGCCACCCATCAATTTTCTCAGCCTTAAGGTCCTGCTCAGATATCACCTTCTCAGAGACCCACCCCCATCCTCTCAGCTCCCTCTCTCTAGACAGCCCGAGTTTAAAGCTCTTCAATCCCACTTGCTAGCTGAGTGACCTTGAGAAAGTGACTTAACCTCTCTGTCTCCATTTTAGCTTTAATAGGGGCACAATAACATTATCTACCTGAGACTCATAAGCACTGAATTCACAGGTACTCAGTACATAGCTAGTGCTTATATGGCACTTACTCATTATTACTGCTATTCACAGCACTTACAGTAGGTTTCCATTTCCATTATTTACCTGCCTTTACACAGTCTCTCCCCTATTAGCTGTCAGCTCCATGTTATCACAGGTCACAGCGTTCTCGGCACCTGCCATAGGCTAATGTCTCAGTAAGCACCTGTGGAGGGAACAAGTGACTTCGGTATAACATAAGGGAGCATCATTAACTCTAGGACCAGGCAGGATCAGGGGTCAAAAGGGAAGTAAAGGCTGAGCTGGGTTTTGAAGGATGAAGACAAGTCCTCCCAATAGATTAAGGCCACTGAGGGCATCGGCTCATGGCTAAGGCTGGGTTCACATGCAGTTCCTGAACAGCTGTTACTGGTTGAATCTCACTCCAGAAAGCCTTCTGGGGCTACCACAACCCTTCCCAGCCCTCAGGGTCACTCATTCATTCAGTTGTTCCTGAGGTCCTGCTGCATGACAGATACATTTTCTTTCTTTTTTTTAAATATTTTATTTATTATTTTTATTTTATGTGCATGAGTGTATTGCCTGCATGTAGGTAAGTGCACTCATGCTGTGCAATGCCTGCGGAGGTCAGAAGAGGCTGTCGGATCCCCTGGAACTGGAGTTATGGACAGTTGTTAGCTGACATGTGGGTACTGGGATTCAAACCTGGGTCTTCTGCAAGAACAGTGTTCTTAATCTCTGAGCCATCTCTCCAGCCCCACATTTTCTATCTATAGGTCTCCCCTCCTCTGTCACACAGTGAAGGCCGCCATCAAAACACTATCTAAACCCCTCAGGAACATTCAGATACCTGTAGTCAAGGCTGGGGGACTTCTAGGACCATCTGGCACACAGAGGCTCAAAGACAAACACGTGTCAGGAAGTCACACAGTAGTAGATGAACTTGAGATTCTGTGTGTGTGTGTGTGTGTGTGTGAGAGAGAGAGAGAGAGAGAGAGAGAGAGAGAGAGAGAGAGAGAGAGAGACGAATTCAGGCATGTAAGGACACGGGTACACATCCCCTGCAAGTGCATGTGGACGTCAGAGGAAGATGCCAAGTGTTCCGTCCTTTCCACCTTATTCCCTTGTGACAGAGTTTCTCAGGGAGCCAGAAATCGCCATTTCGATAGCTAGCTTCCCAGCCAGCTCCTAAAATCTACCCGTCTACACCCTTTAATGCTGGGATTACAGACTCACACAGCTATGCCCAGCTTTTTACATTGGCACTTAAGATTCAAACACATATCTTCATCCCTGCACAGCAAGTGCTCTTACCCACTCAGCCATCCCCTCAGCCCTGAACACAAAATCCTAATCCAAATCTGATGAGATAGCTCATGCCTATAATCCCATCACTCAGAAGGCTGAGGCAGGAGGATTATGAGCTGGAGTCCAGCCTGAGCTACATAGTGAGACTATCTCAGAACCAAAAAAGGAAGAGGGGGAGGGAGAAGGGGAAGATTCTAAAGTTTATCTCCTAAACCTCCACATACTCTAGCTGGGGAGGTTGAAGGGAGAATCTCCTCCCACTATTCTGGGGTTTTAAGGGAGGAGGTGGGTCCCGTGGGGGGTCTGCAGCAGCACATGAGCAGCGTCTGAGCAGAGCACAGATGCTCACAGCTGATTCTGAGCTCCTCCAGCTTGCCATCGCTCCACCTGGGCATGGGGTCTCAGGAGAATAGGGACAAATAGCCCATCACCAGTTTTAAAATCAAAATAGTTCCTGGGCCCCACTGGGAGCTGACCTAAGTCAGGCTAGAACTGAGACATGGCAGAGGTTCCCAGGACTCCCAAAAGTCTGGCCAACTTTCCGCCCCTGCCAGCCCAGGAAAACAGAACTTGGTACCCAGTGTAGACTGACACTTCGGCTGGAGAAAAGACCTCCACTGAGACACCAGGACTAGACGAGGCAGAAGACCTTTCTGGCATACCCAGACCAGCTGTGGCGGCAACTACACAGCTCATTCACTTACTCACCTTATTGCTCACATGAGCCAAGGGCCTGTAGGGTACCCAAAACCCTCAACCCAACACCCAGTGTACAGTGCTACAGGATATTGAAAGGGGTCCCCCAAACCACGCAATGGGAGCTTGCGGGTTACCTGAGACCGATTTCTGTACCCATTTCAACGTGGCAGCTTTGGTCCTTAGGGAAGATAGTTTGGTGGGGTTTTTGGTTTGCTTGCTTTTCATGCAAACAGCTTCAAGGACTTTGGGATGCAGCTCTCTTGGTAGTGCTTGCCTAACACGAATGAAGCCCTGGGTTCAATCCCCAGCACCACATAAAACCAGGCATGGTGGCACATGCCTGTAATCCCAGGGCTTAGGAGGTAGAGGCAGGAGGATGAGAAGTTCAAGATCATCCTTGACATCTTCAGGGAGTTTGAGGCCAGCCTGGGAGACCTTGTTGCAAATAAAAATAAAAAAAGCTTCAGTACTAAAAACATGTCCCAAACTCTCCTGTATTTTGTAGCAGCAAAGGGATTCCAAGAAGAAACCATGGAAATCCAAGATCTGCCAACCAGGCAAGAGTTCAAAGGTGACATTCAAGGTCAAAGTGTTTTTAGTTGATCTGAGGTCCCTACACATTTCCTTGCAACCCAGTTTCCACACCCAACGCCCAGCTCCATCACCAGACACCGTGGAGGCAGTACAGGGACGCTGGATACTGACTGAGTTCAAGTCAGGACATGGGATTGAAATATGGCTTAACCTAGCTGAGCCTCATGCCCCAAAGAACTCAAACTCTGGAGCCAGGACTACTGAGTCCAAATCCCAGCTCTGCCACTTCCTGCCATTGTGATTCTGGGCAGTTTGCGACTCTCTGAGCCTGAGAGTTAATCTTCATCTGGGATAAAAGGGAAGGAGGTAAAAATTACTTTTCTCATTGCTGTCAACAAATACCTCACAAAGCAACCTAAGGAAGGAAGGGTTGTTTTTGGCTCCTGGTCTAAGGGGATACAGTCTATCCTAGAAGGGAAGGAACAGTGGCAGGAACACGAGGCAGCTGGTCACATTGTATACACAATCAGGAAGCAGAGAAAGATGATTGCAGGTACCCCACTCATGTCCTCCTTTTTCACTTTTGTTTGGTCCGGGACCCCAGACCATAGGATGGTGTCACCCACCTTCAGATAGGTATCCTATCCTCACTTAAACCTCTCTGGAAACACTCTCACATACATACCTAGAGGTGAGTCTTAATCCAGCCAAGTAGATAATGAAGATTGCCCATCACAAGAATGGCAAGTGGCCCTACCTCACTGAACTGAGTGAGTTAACATGTGCATGTGCTTAGCATGCTTCCTGGCAAAATCAGAGCGTGAGGATACTCTATCCTGGGCTCAGGGGACAGGAGCAAGAGGTCCAGCGGACTCTGGGCCTGGCTGAGAAACTGCCTGTCCCCATTCATTCTCTAGGTATCCCCTGGCCTCTGACCAGAGCTAATACATCAAGCACAACCCTGTAGATCTCACTGGAGTGGAAGAGATAAAGGTACAAGCCAAGCATCCGTCCCAGCAAGAGCAGGGCTCACACAAGGGAGCATGATGCTATGAGAAATCTAGGAAGGCTTTCTTGAGGAGACAGCATCCCTGATGAATCTGAGAGCATAGAAGGAAACTGCCCAGGAGACAAAAGGCAAGGGGAGGCACAGGGAGACTGGTGTCACTGGTGGAATGCACACAGCTGGAGGACAAAGGCGAGATGACCCACTGAGGCAGAGAAAGCAGCAGGTCAGTATGGTGCTGTTGCAAATGCAGAGAGATGGGACATGGAACTTGAAGAGAGAACCTAGGCAGGAACATCGGCAAGATTGCTATCTGCCAGGTGAGTAAGAGCCACAGTTACCTTTCAGAAGCACCTTCCACTGTGGAGAGCAGATGGAAGAGGCTGAATAAAGTCCTCAGAAAACAAAGTGCATCTGGCTGGGGGAGGATGCTGAGTTAAGAGATGGCTGTTGAAGGGATAGATAAGGCATTTATTTGTCCTAGCCCCCCCCTTTTTAAACATTTTTTCATTTTTATTTATTATGTTTATTTTATGTGTATGAGTGTGTTGCCTGCATGTGAGTGAGTGCACCCGTGTCGTGCAATGTCATGGAGCTCAGAAGAGGGCTTCAGATTCCCCTGGAACTGGGGTTAAGGACGGTTCATAGCCACCATGTGGGTGCTAGGAATCGAACCCGGGTCTTCTGCAAGAGCAGTCAGTGCTCTTAACCACTGAGTCATCTCTCCAGCCCCCCCCCAGGCCCCTTTAAAAGGCTTTTTCTATAATGTCCTCAGCAGACAGCCTCTCTGTGCCCAGCACAGTCTTGCAGTCTGTCCTGATCCCTCCTCTAGGTACCAGGACCAAGGACCCCAATGAGCCATGCAGCACTGGATATCTCTCCAGCCTCAGCCCCTATCTCAGCTCCAAGTCCCAGTTAGGAGGTTCCAAGAAAAAAACAATCTCCAAGGTCACCTCATAGGACACTTTCTCACATGGCTTTTCCCTTACATGATCCTGTATTTGTGCTCCTGTCCTCACTGTCTGCACACATACCCTTCCCCCAGAAGTTCTGTCAGGTTCATGAACTGGGAGCCCTGAGCTTGAGAAGTCAGGACTCACAAAGACCTGAGCTCAGATGACAGCAGGACTGTGACAGGGGAGAGAGGGGGAGGGAGGGAGGGGGGAGAGAGAGAGAGAGAGAGACAGAGACAGAGACAGAGACAGAGACAATGAGAATTCCAGAACTTGCTGCAGGGGATTCCATTCCACACAGCCACAAGCTGTCAGCCTGAGGGAATCAACTGCCTCTGGGACTCTATGGGGGACTGCAGGTTATAACTAAAGAAGTTTGATTTCTCCTTCCAAAGACGACTACAAAACAAACTGAGGACAGTGAGGCTGATGATGCAGAACTTCTGACTTAAAAAGGAAGCATACACTTTCTGGGACCCACAACAGAACCACCCATTTGCCCCCCACCCCCCAATGCCACCCCAGCCCACTGTTCCTACCCTTCGCAGATGGTTTCCCACACTGTGGATCATTGTGACTCTGCTAGCTAGGTCGCGCCAAGGCTGCGGAGAGCTGCAAGCTCCTAGAGAGCCGCTGGTCACCTGAGTCACAGCCGGCCTGCAACTCCAAAAGCAGCTGATGGCCTCAGCAGCTCCTCCTCCCAGGCTCCCGCCCTTCCCAGCCAGCAGTTATTACCGCCGCCCCACTTCCCAGCCTCTCCTCAGTCCGGCCTCTGCCCGCCTCCCGCAGAACCTCTACACGGAAGGCTCCCTAGCACAGGCCAGCTGAGCCACAAGTCACATCAGGGGCCCGGTGCCCACATACTGCCACCACCAGACTCTCTCTTTGCCTCCAACTCCTCATTCCAACCCCCTACCCCTTGCCCTTGGCTATGGCAAGGATCCCAAGGTCCCGGGGCTCCAGCTCCCTGGCCAGGGGTTCTGTGCATCCACAAGGGGGCAGGCTAAAGTGTGGCAGGATGCCTGGGAGCTGCTAAGGCTCCTAAAGATATACCAGACCCACCTACCAAGATTTCACATTCTGAAGTGCTGTCCACTGATTCCTGGGCCCAGGCTGCAGGCATCCAGCAACTGCTGAACCAAGTGGAGAACCCCACCCCACTCCATCCCACCACTTCCTCAAAATGTGCAGGTGGTTCTTCTAAATGAGGCCCCTGCCAAAGTCCACCCTGCATGCCATGCAGCTTTCAGACCCCATAGCCACCACTGGCTGAAAGCTCTCCTCTTTTCGCTGTCACTTCTGCAAGAGCCTTGAGCAGATTGGACATGACAGGACCAAAAGGGCTTGGAGGCCAAGGGGAAAGGGTGAGCAGAAGGGAGTTGGGGGACAAGTGACTGTGAGCCAGGCCTTGCTGGTACCGTCCCACCCCTCTAGGAAGGTTACTTGGAGGGACAAAAGGGATATAAATGAGGTGGCCCCGTCAGTGAGTACGGAGTAGGTGCGAACAGATGAGCAGAACTCTTTCCTCTGTCCCTGCTTCCAGTTCATTCACCACACATTTAATAATACGTCCCCTGGCCAGGTCTTGCCCTATGACTCTGGGCAAGTCCTCTCCTCTCTCAGAGCCTCTGCTCTAGGAATGAAGGCCTTGTGAATGCAGGCCTTCCCTCAGAGTACTTGACATCTGAGCTGGACTGCTTTAGTTGTCAACTTGACACACCTGTGTAGAGGGAGCCTCAATTAGTTAATTGCCTCCATTGGACTGGCCTGTGGCCATATGGGGTATTTTCTTGATTGTTGAGTGATGTGGGAGAGCCCAGCCTACTGTGGGTGGTACCACCTCTGGGCAAGTTATTCTATATTGTATAAGAAAGCAGGCCGAGCATGGGACCAAGCCAGTAAGCAGCATTCCTCCATGTTCTGTGCTTCAGCTTCTGTCTCCAGGTTCCTGCCTTGAGTTCCCACCTTGGACTCCCTCACTGATGAACTGTGACCTGGGAGATGTGAACCAAATAAATCCTTTCCATGCTAAGTTGGCATTTATTTGGTCAGAGTGTTTTGTCACAGCAATTAAAAGCAAACTAGACCAACATCTGTCAGAACTTCCACAAAGTTCTACAAATGAGAAACTGACATTATATCCTAAAGACAAGATGGGAGCCAAGTGTAGTAATTCATATTTGCAATCCCAATACTCAGGGAGCTGAGGCAGGAGGATGGCCATGAATTAAAGACCAGCCTGGGCTACAAGTGAGTTTTAGGACAGCTTAGTTAGACACCAGCACCAAAAAAAAAAAAAAAAAAAAAAAAAAAAAAAAAGCATGGAGGCTGGGGAGATGGCTCAGTTGGTAAAGTGCTTGTCCTGCAAGCATGAAGACCTGAGTTTGGATCCCCTGTCCTGAAAGAACGCCCATATATGTAAAAAGCTAGGTGCAGTAGTACACACCTGTAATCCCATGCAACAGTTTAAGCATCAAGGTGCATCTAAACATGGTCAAAGTGATGAAAGCTATGCAAGGACAGCTGTAGAAGACACCCCTGGACAGATCATCTCACTAGGTCCCCAAGTAACATGACAGGCAGTGCCAGGGCACTCACTGAGCTCACAACCCATAATCCCAGCCTCCAGAGGACAATTATATCTCAGGCTCTCTTAGACATAGGCAAACTGAGGTCCCGGGATGGAGAGTGGGGCTTGAAGACTTATAGTGAGAAAGTTGTCTGGAATCACCTGTCCCGCCTGCAAACCCAGAGCCCCATCCACCTGACCATGCCACAGGTATACAATGTGAGATACTTTAGTTTGACCCCTGAGAGAACTTCCAGTGAGGCTGAATCAATCCCACTTTCAAGAAAACACAACAGAGAACTAGACCTTTCTATAGAAGCCCCTGCAACTCACAGATCTGTGTCCTCTCTAAACTGGGACCTGTGAGGCCTCTGCAGTTGTGTACCACCTATTATTGCAAAGATGTTTCCATGGGCCCAAAGGCAGGGTCTACATCTCCCTCATCTCTGGGCCTCTTCCCCAGCACCCAAACCAGGACTCCAAATGCAGGAGACCTGAAACACACATGGATGACTCACTGTCTTAGAAGGACCCAAACTTCAGTCTACATCAGGACCACCCTGAGGGCCCCTTAACATCCCAGGGTTCCAGGGTTTTTGATTCTGTAGAGTGGAAGTAGACCCCAAGTACTTTTGTGTTTAACAAGATCCCTAGGGAATACTGATGCGGCTGGCCCAGCTGTTGCTTAGGGACAGCAAGCTAGGTCAGTGGCATGTTACAGTGGGAGAATGAGGCCCTGATATTTTAAAGGCAGAACTTGATAGTCTGTCACTAACAGCAGCACCATTGTCACCATCATCCCTGTCAGGATTTTCCACACATGCCCAGCACTGTACATGTATTTCATGTAGGTGAGCATCACCCCAAAAGGAAGATATTATGCCAGAACACACTTACATGCTTCCCACTTACATGCCTCCATGACGTCAAGACTGCCTTAACATTACAAGATTTCTAATAGCCAGAGGGCCTTGCCACTGTTCCATGACCAGGACACTCGATCACCCAGAGCAGGGCTGCTCCCTTGAAAGCTGGCAGAGATACAGGAACACTTTTCCTATCCTGTGTGGGCCCTGGCCTTCCTGTTTTCTTTCTTCTAATCCTTCTTTTTCCTAATCTTCTTACAGCATGGATTTACTTCCTGCAACTCCCTCCCTCCTCCCTCTCCTAGGGTTTCTTTTGTCCTTGCTGTTCCCTCTACTCTGAGCTTTCTAGAATGATTTAAAAAATAAAATCTGATAACTACATCCAAACCCTACCATCTAGGCACCTAGCTGAAATGCACCATCTCCAGCCCACCTTCCTGCCCTCTCCTCAGAGGCATTCATGGGTGCATGCACCTGTCCACACATACTTCACAGCCCTGTATCTCCCTAAGCACTGGAACTTGAACCCAGGCCCTTGTGCATGTAAGGCAGGCACTATACCACTGAGCTACATCCCAATGCTTTTTCTCTTAAATCCAGTTGATTTGTGTTGATGTCTCCTCTTTGACCTCGAGTAAGCTAGCAGGGGAGATAGAAGATTCATTAGAGAACTGCCCCTTTGCTCTCAGCCCTGAACATAGTTGTTCAACGGACAAATCGTTAAATGCAAATGGACAAGGGAACACTGTGAATGGAAGTACATGCCCAAATAAACACTGGGTCAAAAGAATACTCGCATGCAAGAATATTGTCATTCACTCGGTTCCCCAGTTCCCCAGGTGGGGCAGGGCGGTGACACTGAAGAGAGGAACCAAGGAAGAGAGTAGTGACACCAGCAAAAGAGGAAAGGGAGGGGACTGTATTCAAAGCCACGTCCTCACTCCAAAACCCAGCCGTGGTGAAGAAGCTGGAGCGAAGGGCGCAAGAGGAAGGCTGCTAAATGGTCCAGGGAGAGGAGGCAGCAACCACCTCTCCCAGCTCCACCTGTGCATCATGGACCTCCTGCATGGCCAGCTGCTGAGGGTCTGGACCTGGCCCAACTTCCCAGATTTGGCCTTTGCCCGTGAAATGTTCACACCAAGAGCGATGCTCACCTCACCCCAAGCTGAGTCAACACCGGCTGCACCCTCTGGACAGAGTCTTAAGTCCTCAGGTCCTCCGGATGGCCGGCCTCACGCCCTCCCCTGTCCTCACAGAGGCCCGCCCCTGCATCCCTGCGCCCCACACCCCAGCGCCCCTCTCCTGTGTGGCCAGTGCCGGGCATTAGAGGATCTGCCCCGGGAAAGTCCTGCCGGGAGGCGGCGCGGGAGTGGACGCTCCCAGGACACGTGTGCCAACTCGGCGGAGCTGCAGCCGGCGGGTGCGCGGGTCTTACCGAGTGCTGGGACACTCCGGACGAAACGGCAGGCGGGGCCGAGCCGGGAGAACCCGGGTGCCCGAGCAGAGGCAGCGGGGAGCTGGAGCGCGGCGCGGCAGAGGCGAAGGCGGGAGTGGCCGGGCGAGTTCCTGGGCGAGTCTGCGCCCTCCCTCCCCTGTTTGCAGCGGGTGGGGCCGCCCAGGGCTGCGGGGAAAGCAGATCCCAGAGGGCCTGGTCCCCGGTGGCCGATCCCGGAGGGTCAGGTCCCCAGTGGGAGATCCCAGAGGGTCAGGTCCCGGGTGGGAGATCCCAGAGGGTCAGGTCCCCGGTGGGCGATCCCAGTGGGTCAGGTCCCCAGTGAGCGATCCCGGAGAGCCAGTTACCCAGTGGGCGATCCCAGAGGGCCAGGTCCCCGCTGGGCGATCCGGATGGACCTGATTTCGTCCGGGTGGTGCTAGGTTCTTCGGCCCTGCAGCTGTCAATCCCTGGGCCTAGGGCAGAGATCCGAGTGGGCACCGGGTCTCCTCTGAGCGCAACAGGCACTGGGCGCGAAAGCTGCCTGCTACTTCCTGCTAGTATTAATCTTATCTGCTACTCAACCACACCTTTACTGAGTACTCAACTGTGTACCCAGTCCTGTGCCATGTGCTGGCATGAGGTTTTAAGCAGGAACCACAGTACTTCCCTTGGGGGAGGCGGGAGGCAGAGAAATGGATGGTTCAGAATGGCAAGACACAGTATCACGCACGACTCTTCTCTCAAAACACTGTTAACACCACAGGCAGCTTCCAGCTTCCTCAGGTCACGCTGGGGTCACAGGTTCATCTGTCAAACTTAGAAAGAACTAGACAAAACATAATGGTGATCCCTTAAAGAGTGACTGGGAAGGAGGCCTTTGGCAGTCTAGTGCACTGCACAAGGAGGAGGATGAGGGGAGGCCGGGTCCAGACACCCACAGAGGCCCAGACACCCATAGAGGCACTTGGGAAGTTGCCCTGCCCAGCCACTTTGGAAAGAAAAGGACACTTGTAAACAGAGCCACCTGCTGAGCTTATTGGGCACCAGTAGCCCTTCCAGTCTGGGACTTCTGGTGGAAACAAACGTCTACCCCTAGTCACTAGCATGACATGCTCTCCAAGCACCTCAGTCACAGCACCTGTCTAAGTGATTTGACAGCAACCAGCACAGGCTGGCTTTGCTCAGCTGACAGCATTAAGGGCCAGCCTCAGCTCAGCAGAGTCCGGAGGTGTCAGTAGCAGCAAATGATATGTGAAGCCACTTTCAAAGTGCAAATGAGAGACATATCCAGGGAGCATCCAGAGCCCTGTGGAACTGTCAGATCTCAAAACAGGGGAATCTTGCACTGGTTGGATGCCACTGGGCTGGCATAACCACAGCTTACTGTAATGGGACACTAGAATCAAATGGTGAATCCTGTAGATCAGATCTTTTTGTGCTGCTGGGGACAAACCTAAGGTCTAAACAAGTAAGTACTCTACCACTGATTTACAGCCCATCCTGCAGACTGTCTTCCTATTGTTATTTAGTTTTTGGGTTTTTTGTTTTTGTTTTTTGGTGTTTTTTTGTTTGGTTTTTTTGTTTGTTTGTTTTGGGGGGTTTTTTTGGTCTTTTTGAGACAGGGTCTCCCCTGTTGCCCCAGCTGTCCTGGAACTCACTATGTAGACCAGGCTGGCCTTGAACTCACAGAGATCCGCCTGCCTCTGTCTCCCGATTGCTGGGATTAAAGGTGTGCGCCATCATGCCCAGATGTTTTTTGTTTTTTTTTTTTAATACAGGGTCTTACAAAACCCAGAGTGGTTGTTCCTCCTGCCTCTACCTGAGTGCTAGGATTACTAGTATGCACCACTATGCCTAATTTATGTTGTATTGGGGATCAAACCAAGGGCTTCATGCCCTCAAATTCTCTTTTTTGAAAAATGACCATATTACAGGGCTAGAGAGATAGCTCAGCAGTTAGGAGCACTGGCTGCTCTTCCAGAGGACTTGGGTTCAATTTCTGGCACCCACATGGCAGCTAACTACCATCCATAATTCCAGTTCCAGAGGATCCAACACCCTCTTCTGCCCCCTACAAGCTTCATACAACATGAGTACACTTACATACATGCAGGCAAAACACTCATACACATAGAATAAAAATAAATAAAATTTTAATAAGTTTAAGAAAATGTTTTTTTAAAAAAAGAAAATGACCATATTGCATACTATTTGGAGTGGGGACTATGTTCATGTATGAGTGGGTACACTTGTGTTGTAGGGGGTGTTTGCACACGTGGAGGTCAGAAGACAACCTCCCACCTTTCACCTTTTTTGTTTGAAACAGTGTTAGGGTTAGGCTTGGACTGGGACTTTGCGAAGTAGGCTAGGCTAGCTGGCCAGTAAGTTCTATGGATCCGCTTGTCTCCAGCTCCTGTCCTGCCTTTATTGGGATTATAAGCATGTCCCCATGCCCAGTTTACATGAGTTCTGAAGATCAAATCAGGTTGTCATGCTACACTATTTGTTTGTATGTTTGGGTGTGTGGGTGGATGTGTGTGTGTGTACATATTCATATGTAGTGGACATGTGTGCTGGTGCATATATACTCATGTATGCACATCAGTGTGGTGACCAGAAGTTGGCCTTCCTTGATCTCTTTCCATTTTTATTTTATTTATTTTGAGACAGGGTCTCTCACTGAACCTGAAGTTCACCAGTTCTGTTAGAATGGCTGGCAAGGGAACTCTGGGGATTAGCCTACATGAGTGCTGAAGATCAAATCAGGTTGTCATGCTACACTATTTGTTTGTATGTTTGGGTGTGTGGGTGGATGTGTGTGTGTGTACATATTCATATGTATGTGGACATGTGTGCTGGTACATATATACTCATGTATGCACATCAGTGTGGTGACCAGAGGTTGGCCTTCCTTGATCTCTTTCCATTTTTATTTTATTTATTTTGAGACAGGGTCTCTCACTGAACCTGAAGTTCACCAGTTCTGTTAGAATGGCTGGCAAGGGAACTCTGGGGATTAGCCTGTCTCCACCGCTCCCCCCAGACACAAGCACTGGCCTTAGAGATGTACAGTGCTGTGCCCAGTTTCGTTTAGTGGGGTTTGTTGTTGTTGTTGGAGACAGGGTCTCCCTGTAGCCCCAGCTGATCTGGAACTTGCTAGTAGAACAGGCTAGCCTCAATCTCAGAGCTCTGCCTGCCTCTGCCTCCACCTCCTGAGTGCTGGTATTAAAGGTGTGTGCCACTACACCTGGCTTGTGCTCACCTTTTATGTAGGGGTTAGGGACCCAACTCAGGTCCTCATGCTTACACATCAAGCACTTTACCCACTGAGCCATCTCCCCAGACTCTACTGGTTTTTAATCTGCTTTTTCTCTAAGTAATTTTGAGACAGGATCAACCAGTAGTTCAGGCTGGCCTTAAATTCACTATGTAGCTGAGGATGACCTTGAACTCTTAATTAACTTTTTAAATTTTAATTGAATTTTGTTTATTCTTTTTTTCTCTCTTATTTTAAGTGTTATGAGTGTTCCGCCTGCATGTGTAAGTGCACCATGTGCATGCAGTGCTCCCAGAGGCCAGAAGAGGGCATCAGATCCCTTGGAACTGGAGTTACAGACAGTTGTTAGTGGTCATGTGGTTCCTGGAAATTGAACCAGGGTCTTCACAAAAGTAGCCAGGGTTCTCAACTGCTGAGCTATCTCTCTAGCCCCAGGACCTTGGAATCCTTGATCCTCCTGTCTTTACCTCCCAAGAGCTGGAATAATAGGCATGTACCACTGTGTTTTTTAATCTCTTTGTTTTGTTTTTATAACATTATTTTAATTCAATTTTCATACAACAAACACATATTTAAGGTATATAACAAGGATAATTTTATATATCTATATTATACTTGTATATATTGTATGTGATATATGCACATATGTTATATATGTATATATCCACGAAAACATCAGTACAGTCAAGGTAATGAACTTGTTCCTCACCCAAAAAGTTTCTTCATGGCCCTTTGAAATCTCACCCCTCTGCCCATGCCACCCCTCCCCACCATCCCCACCATTTCTGGTCTCTTTTGTGACTTCTCTTTACCCATACTTTACTTAGAAGTGCATTGTTGGACTGATGATGGCTCAGTAGATAAAGGTACCTGCCACTAAGCCTGATGATATTAGTTCAATCCCTGAGACCCATATGGTAGAAGGAGAGAACCAAATCCCAGTAGTTCTCTCTCCTCCACAAACAAGCCATGGCATGCCCATGCCCACACACAATAAAAATAAGGAAGTTGGAGGAGTTGTACACTGAAAACTAAACCTTTAATGAAAGAAATTGAAGAAGATAATGAAAAGACATCTACTATCCACAAATTCAGAGAATTAGTATTGATAAAATAACCATGCTCTCCAAAGGAAACAAGGGATTCACTTCATTCATATCAAAATTAGATGACATTTTTCACAAAAATAATTCTAAGCTTCTATGCACCCACAGAAGACCTTAAATAGTTAAAGTGGGTTGTTGTCCTTTGTTGTTGTATTATTGCTGTTTTGTTTTATTTTTGGAGACAGGGTCTTATGTGTCACTGGCTGGACTCAAATTCACTCCAGTGTAGCTGACAACAACCTTGCACTTCTGAGTCTCCTGCCACTCCCTCCTGACTGCTGGGAGTTTGAGGTCAGTACTAGCTACCCAAAAAGACCATGTGCCCTCACACACACCCCAAGAAAAATTAAAAATACAACTTCTCTTAGAGCTGGGCATAGTAGCACACACCTTTAATTCCAGCACTCAGGAAGCAGAGGCAGGCTGATCTCTGAGCATTCCAGGCTAGCCAGTAACACCCTGTGTCAAAAGTAAAATACAAATTCTCTATCTTCTACCAATTTTACTATTAAGTGTATAACCAAAGGAGGGGAATCAGATGTTCATCTGACGTACATGGGCTCAATGTGTCTATCAACAAAATACATATACACACAAACACACACACACACACACTGCAGTATTATTCAGCCTTTAAATGAGGGCTGATGACTCAACAAATAAAAACCACTTGCTAACAAGCCTGATAACAAGACTTTGATCCCTGGAACCCATGGTGGAAGGAGAGAACT